AGAGAGAGAGAGAGAGAGAGAGAGAGAGAGAGAGAGAGAGAGAGAGAGAGAGAGAGAATTGTATTTGCAAATTGACCATTTGATTTGCACAATGAAATTAACCCAACAGCCGGCAAGGTACGCATGCCTAATTACAAAATACTATTATATAAAACCTCTCTAAAGTTATGTGAATTATTAAACGTATGATCTATACAACTCTTCTTTTTAATTCTGAAATAAAAGTCGAAATAATTACAGTTCAATTTGAAAGAAGAAGTTGCACAAGTGATGATAATGAAGACGACGATGAATCTGTGCAAATTTTGCAGCAGTGATGTATGTGCACAAGAACGAAATATTTTATTTATACAAGAATTTAGTGACGGGCATGTAAACGAGGTGACGAGTACATACTTTCATTTCTCTAAAAATCAGCAAGGCTCTGTCCTTTCTCGCAAGTGTCCACAGGATGAGAAGGGGATGTTTCTTTTGGAGGACGTTCAGCTGTGCAACTGGTCCTCTAGAGAGTGTTTACTTCAATGTGATGGTATATTTTTTGGGGGGGGGGGTGCAGGTCAGGCAGTGTGATGGCAAACTAAGGCAAACTGATGTGCTTTAATTGTTTCGACATGAGCAAAAAGCCAAATCTGGCTTTGAAAAAAAAAATGCCGTAAAGGATGAAAACAATCATTGAGAATACTGTTAAGACCACTGATGACCAAAATGCAGTGTTTATTATTTGCTTACTGTCCTTTCTCTGCTCATCTTCAATATTTTGCATCTCAATATTCAGTGAATAAATTCACTCCACCATTCCGGTTATATTAGAGAAAGAAAAAAGTAATATACTTGAGACCTGAATGCAGATGAGCAAGTCAGCAGCAGCGCAGCAGCAGCTTTTTCAACCAGCTATTGAGATACCCTCCTTCATTTCTTAACATGTATTGTATTTGGTGACCCCCGTTTGCCTCCTGCATTGCCACATCTCCTTTGTACGGAGTTGATCAAGTTGTTAATTGCGGCCTGGGGAATGTTGGCCCAGGCCTCTTCACCGGCTGTGCGAAGTTGCAGCAAATTGGCAGGAACTGCACGCCGTGTCATATAGGCCGATCCAGAGGTTCTCAAGTATGCTCAATAGCTGGCATGTCTGATGAGTATGCTGGCTCTGCAAGAACTGGCATGTTTTTAGCTTCCAGGAAATGTGTACAGATCCTTGCAACCTGAGACCTCAGGATCTCATCATTGTATCTGTGTGCATTTTCAAATGTATTAACCCCACCGCCACCAAGGGCAACTCTGTCCACAACGTTGACGTCAACAAATTGCTCAACCGCTGTCAACTGCAATGTAGAGTGAAACCTGGGATTCATCCATGAACAGAACAAATTTCCGAGGATGCCATCAAACGAGATCATTTTGCCATTCAAGTCGGTTAAGCCAACAAACTGCAGTCAGGTCGAGACCCCAAGCATGCAGATGAGGTTGGATCTGTTGCCAAATTATCTGAAATGCCTTTTGGAGATGGCTTATGGTCGAGGTATTAACATTCATGGGCAACAACTCAGGTGGACATTCCTGCAGTCAGCTTGCCAATCGCTGCGTCACAGATTTTGTATCCATAGAAAAAGTCTTTGACCTTTGAGTTCAGCTCATGCAAAATGGGAGCACAAACCCAATTGTTGCGTTGATATTTTTCTTCAGTACATGCAGAAATGGGAATTTCCACCTGCTCGTCAGTACTGACGGACTCCCGTTTTTGCTGGCGGATTGCTGACTAATGGTAACTGACAGAATAAGCGCTGATGCAAGTGATTCTTGGTTGTCCGACGACTGACATGAACCCAAAGAAAAATAGATGAGGGGCATTTTAGGGATGAGAAGCAACAGGAGCAGCAGTAGTAGTATAACAATTTATATATAACCGCCGGCGAATGACAGAAGCTGCCCACCACTGAGTATATGTAAGTCATAGCAGCAGTGCGGGATATCGACACTAATTATCTCGAGCGGCACAAACAAACAGCCTTGCTTGGATTGTGACATACTCAACCATGCCTACACTGAACGCTTAACATGTAGTATCCAGTCAAAGCAATTAAGTGAGGGGAATTGTTTGAATGGCACGTTTCTTTTCAAAATTGAATTTGATTGCAACAATCAACAGCTTTCAGATTGCCAAGGAGAGAAGGACTAAAATAAAGGGAAATAAAGGAAGGACATCGCAAGCGTGTGGCTTTTTATCAATAACACATAGTGCCACCCTGGTTACATTATTGTCAAGGGATGTTTTTTCACAATATCAAACTGTTCACAATTGAATCCTTATTAGATCATTTCCTGGTATTTGAAGTATTACTCGTATAATGACTGTAATATGGACTAAAAACAATACCTAAGTTACTAAGTCTATTGACTGGATAGCAGTACCTTTGGAGTCATGCATTGGCGGTCAGCAGCTTGTTGCGCTGCATGTTCACGGATGAGTTGAGCCCATTTGGCAGAGACGTGTTGCCTGACTCAGACTTGTGCTTCCTGTGTAAAAACCGAAGCCTGAGTTCATGCAGTGAGGTATTGTTATATAATACTTATCTGGACGACAACACACCACACCCTGACAATGGGAAAGGGAAGGCCAAACGAGTCACAGTCTGTCTGGATCGCTGCTCTGATCATTTCAAAATTAAGCATGAAAAGTCTCACAGTCAATCAACAAGATTTGGCTACACCATGTTTTGGGTGAACAATGTGTGCAGAATTTGAGCAAAACAATGGATTTTTGTAAGCTGCAATCCCAGTCTAAAGGCTTTTTATTCAATGAGGTAAGGGCTGACTTTATATGGAAGTAAATTGCTGTTGGGAATAAGTAATTTGCAGGCTTTCTGGTCTATAGTGATTTTAAAGTGTCGAAACGGGCCAACATCAAGCCACCTAAGAGCAAAGTCATTTCTGAATAAATACAACATCCTTCTGATTTATTTCCGCCCGTTTTCTCAATCAGGACTGGAAAATCTCGAACTGCTTGATGACATCTGACCTGTTACACTTTCACACAAGAAGAAAAAGCCCCAGAGTCTATTTGACGCCGCATTTCTTTTATATGAGGCTCCTTTAGAGAATTGCTGGAAACAAGAAAGTGCTATGAAGCAAGGCCTTATTTCTCTAGCCACAGCCTTTGTGTAGAACAATGATTGGGGTTGCATGAGAATGTTCTCTTCTCTTGAGCAACATATTTGACTTTCGATGTTTTTTATTACTGTGGCAAGGTTGCTAGATTGATTAGAATAAAGGAACGAAATTTCAATCACAAACCAAGCTGGCAAAGCGTTAAGGCTGATACATGACTATCGTTTAAAGGGATGAAGACAGCTGCTATGAATGTGGTGTAGATGTGCAGATGGTGAAACAAACCCGCTTGTAAATAATGGCACCTTCAAAATAAGTGTGAGGGAATTCTAACAGCAGTTTTATCCATTTATTAGTTTCCTGTACATTGGTAATCACTAAATGTTGTTTGTAGGTAACAAGTAAATGTTTTTTGTTTTTTCAAACTATGAGTGGAGGTGATGTGGACATGACCTTAGTGAGCTGTGTAGGAGAATGTTAAGTGAGCTTGTGCCTTTAGTGCTCCAGTCAGATGATGTCAAGTGGTAAGGTCATAAGTCTGGCTGATCTTTAGTGGGCAGCATGTTTCTTCTCTGCTACACATTCATGAAAAATGAGTGAATAGGGGAAAGGACCACTTCTATTGAAGCTTACACTGCCTGGCACAGAGTCAAGGGCAAGCTGCCATGGTTCTACTTTTCACTTTTCATGACAAGAGTCTGAGGCAGGAAGGGAGCGGATGTGTGAGGGGCGGGGAGTGGCGGGCTAGATGCGGGGTGCGTGCGTCAGCAGCTCCGCCTGGGACTCCCTTGCCAGGAGGTTTGAAGAGCATATGTGGGTCTTATCTTATCTACTCTCCGAAAAGGGCGTAGCACAGCAGCCGACACTGACATTCAGTGGGCACCAAAAGTGGCGGTGGATAGGCCTTGATTTCTCTTTCCCACATTTCACCTCATGTATTCATCAAGCTAGGAAGTGAGTGTGTGAGCATATACAGGTGAGTGCACGCACATTCTTCTTGTACTCCTTTGCGGCGTGTGTTCTAACCTACACTGATCAATCAATATGAGGCAGTTCAATGGTGTCAGATTAAGCAGATAAACATCATGCTTCTTGATTAGGGGCGAGACAAAATGTTGTTTGTCCCATCTCTCGTAATGAATTAGAGAGCCAACCAAATATCAAAAGTTTGCTACACACTGAAAAAAATAAATAAATGATATATACACAGTGCATCGGCCGTGGGTTCAATTCCTGGCCTTCCTGTGTGGAGTTTGCATGTTCCCCCCGTGCTTGTGTGGGTTTTGTCCGGGTACTCCGCATTCTTCCCACATTCCAAAAACATGCTTAATTGTGTGGAACTGATCAATGATTATTTGTTGTTGTTCATTTAAAGCACTACTTGTCTGCAACCAGCAGAGGAACTATTTATCTACTCCCAACTAGTTTCTTGTTTAAAGAAGAAAAGCTGATAAAGCCAAAATCCTCCACAATGACAACTCTTCCATGAGTTTGCTCAATGTGACACTGGCATGGAAACATTCAGACACTTTCAGCCCATTAAATTCATATTTTTAAAAATAGAAATACTGCTAAATCAATTCGTTGAGCACTAATTTAATATTAATTTAGTTGACAAAGGATTTCTTTCTTTTTTTTTTTTAATCGGCAACTATAAACCATAGTCGTGACAATATTATATCGTGAATAATTGTGAGCCCCATTCGAAAACCACATGTGGTGGAAACATGGAGTGAAAGAGTGGAGAGAGAGAGAGAGAGACTGAGGATCTCAATGGAAATGTAATTTGCATTATTTCCACTTCCTTGGCCCAGGTATACACATAAAGGGATGGTGCTATAAATGGCAAGCTGGGATAAGACATCTTGGCGTGTGCTCACAGGCAAGTAGTGACAAATGACAGACATATACAGTCTCAAGAGGAACATCAGCTAACTGTGATTGAACTGCAGTCCATCCATGTTCTATACAGCTCATCCTGTTTGGAGTTATAAGAAACGTTGAGTCAAACCCAGCTGACAGCCAACTCCATCCTGAAGTGATCGCCTGTCAACCGCAGGCGATTACGAACGTAGAATTGAGCCTGCGCCAGCTGCATGAAAGTGAGTGTGACTGTGACCCATCATAATTTCACATCAACTTGCTTCAATTGATGAGAATTTTGAGGATGGCACCAATCATTGTGCCTCAGAGTCAGCATTTTGTCCAAACCACAGGTTTAATGTAAACGCTGCGACACCGCATTCCCCTTTCACCACCTCCACCGCTTCCCAGAGCCCCCGTCCACGATGGGGTCGTGTTCGTCACCGCACATCTGGACTGATGTCGAACTGATGGGAAGCTGCTAATGAGAACCACAGAACTCAGATCCTGTGTCTTCTCCTGTATCACGTTTTTCGATGAGCTCCAACATGAGGACAAGTTGGAAGGGAATCTATCCGTCTGTGGCCTTTTCCCATCCCCTCAGATGCCGAGACTTTGACCAGCTGACAGAGGGGTCAATGGATGGAGGATGCCTTGAGGAGAATGTCATCTGTTTTGTCACTAACATCGTGCACTGTGCCCTGGCGCTGAACCAGTGCTCCGCAGATTTTGACATAAAGGTTTCAAACTGCATCGCAGGCTTATTTTTTTTGGCTTGAACTTCATGTATTTAAAGCAAGAGAAAAAGTCTTGCTCAAGGGCTCCCCCTAACAATAAAACCAAAACACTGACAGCGTTTTGAAATACATGCTTTACACTCTACAGCATTATTTTTGAACAACAAAAACACACAAACAGGGGCAATAAATGGGCGTGCTGACAAACTCTTCTTGTAATGTCATGGCTTAAAATGAACATGATATGCTCTGCAACATCAGTGCACTTATTAAGACTTTGAAAACTAGTGTTGGTCCTGATGCTGATGCTAATGTAACATGAGAACTGACCTGGACCTGGACAAACGATACAGTATTAAAAGACAACACACCACAGTGTAGTTGATCCAGGGGGATGACAGTGGGGGTGAGAAAGATGCTGTTATACTGTACTTTTTATACCATGAAAAGCATTTTAAAGTTCAAGGGTACCATAACTACATACTTTGTTGTGGGCAAATAGTACTCGAAATTGACCTGACTGCATACAAATAATTGATTTCCAGAAGTTCCTATGCGCCCAATCAGGCTGAAAGCAAACAAATTGTCTTTGCGTTATAAGCCAAATAGAACATTCATCGACATCAGTGCAGACTGATCATTTTTGCCCATGCAGTTTTTGACAATCTATGATTTCAACCAGGGGTAACCAATTTCGGACCAGAGCTGGTAACTCCTGGTTCAAACACGGCCATCAAAACCTCACCACATGATATTGTTCAATGAATTCCCAAATTCTCAATTCCCGGTAAGTGTATGTGAACAAGTAGATATTAAAATGCAAATGAATAAACTGTCTAACAACACTGTTCTGACCTTGAATGAAAATGGGTGCTTTTATCCATCAGCACAAATAATAATTACCATATTGAAATACAGTATAAACAAGAACATATGAACACGATGATTATGACTTCAAGACAGGAAATACTTAAAGTTCTCTTTAGAATGTAGCATAAAAGTCTGATTATGTACAGTATGAAAATATTTCATATTGCAAAGCATTGAGTGCAAAGCACTACGGATTGTGTTTGTTCTAGCATTTAAAGAGCCTGTTTTTGATGTGTTCTTAATGTGTTTGGCAATGCGTTTCTGCAGTACGGGGGAAATTCTCCCATCTCAACTTTTGACACAGCCACCTTGCGTAATGTGGAAATTTGTTTTTGTGTTCATTTTTTTGAATAAATCCAGTGAAAGCAATATAATGAGAATACCATGCACATAACTGAACGCATCGGAGATGGTGCGGATTGCGAGTTGGGCAGGTTGCCAAGTAGCGCAATGCGAACAGGGGGCATCAAATACAAAAAAAAAAAAAAAATCTGTAACCCACAGTCAATGATTGTAGCTCTTTGCGATTGGCGCTTCAACTCCAAGCCCCATCGGCATGTGGGAATGCTCCTCAAAGGTGAAGAAAAAAAGTCCGCTGACGCTCATCCTTTTATTCCCCAATTAATGACATAATGTTGACACTCTGCCAGCAGTGTAATTTAGTGGGGACACATATACAGTCGTATGTGAGACAAGTGACAAGTTCACTCAAGCTTTGACATGTTTACAGCTTCATAAGTGTCAGGAAAAATGTTGGTGAAAGCGAGAAGTTATGTAGTCAGGTCAGAAATGTCCAGAATGAGCACTTCCTGCCTGACAATGTTCAGCCTTCTTCATCCAGTTAAGCAATATGTTGAAAAGCCAAATGGGTTGAAAAACATGCACGAGAGATCACATTAGGGTTGACCTTAAACGAACACTGCGGGCCAACAATGCAGTCACACAAGCCACTACAAACAGCTGGAACTACTGTAACTGTGTGTTAGGGTTACGCGATTTACAATGAGATGAGCAAGCGGTGATGTCAACATACCCCGAGTCTGCATTAGCTGGCCACTCTTGCATCAAGTCCCATTTCAGAAGGGACAAACAATGGAAAACATATCATCAGTTGCTGCAAAACAAACCACAGATAATGCAGCCCACCTGTGCATACTGGCCTGTCACATGAAGAACCCAATGCCATGGCTTTGTGTACAGTAAGACTCACGTCACAATTAAATCTGTTGTTTTAACAATGCTATAATGTTACATA